TGAAGGGGGGGGGAGTGTCTCTGCCATTGATCATCTGGCATCATGGTGGGTCCTGTGCTGGAGGTGTCTCATGTGTTTTGCTGCCCAAACCAGGTTCGAGGAGCTTTGAGTTGGAATACCCAGGATGTAGGACTCCTGGCCTTCGGCACGTCCTGCTCCGTGGTTCTCTATGACCCTCAGGTACGAGGGATTAGGCGCGCTCTACGGGCCCAGCTTGCAGGCCGAGTGCGCGGTCCATTATACTCAAAGGATCTGGGAGGGCTTCCCGAGGGGCCTGGATTCTGTCCTTTCCGTGTCGCGCTGCCTCTACCTAGGGTGGCCGTGGCCTGTGATCCCCGAACTGAAACCCCAAGGATGATATCTTTGTCGGAACCCTTAAAAAATTGAAATTTAGGCGTGGGTTAAAGCCACACATGGCATCTGAATTCTTTGTTTCCTCGCAGTATAGTTTACGAACGTACATTGAATTGCAAAGAAATGTTAAGGATATTTTAGTGGATGGAGCTTTTAAAGAATGGAAAAAATAGAGGATGGGAGTCCTAAGCCCTGGTTATAAAGCAGTACTTAAGTCATTTCTTGAACATTAGCCAGCTGTTTTTTTTTTTTTTTTCTGCCAGTTTTCCTATTCAACTTCTCAAGTGAGTAATTAATGCATACTTATCGGAGTTGTGAACCATCTCCCCTGTTTACTTTAGGATGGTACAGTTAGTGTTTCATGGGTCAGAGTTGAAACGCAGAAAACTAAAGGGCAGAGCAGATGCTTGTCTGTTTCTTACAGTGCTGCATTGTTAGAGTTTCGATTTGAAATCCCATTTCCCTCAACTTGCAGATACAAAATTCTATATGAAAAACATTTCAATTACTTCCTCTTACCTATAGCATGCTCTTACATCTCTTCTGGTCTTTATGTCTTATCATTTGCTATGTATATTCTTGATTGGCAAGAAGCAGCATAATCAAACCAAAGGTGAACTTTACATTAACCATCAGCTAATGGCTAAGCCAGTAGAAGCCCATCTTTGTGCAGAAGTCAGTGGATTTGTTCCCATACCTTCCATCACTTTGTTGCCGAAGTTGTTTGTTTCACTTTGTAGCCCAGGCTGGCTTGCCTTTGAACCCACTGTAATTGAGTTTGCTTTCAAGCTTCCCATCCTCTTGCCTCAGATTCCCAGGTGCTGAGACTACAGATCTGAACCACCATGTCCATCTCTGTCACATTTTTTAATGATAACATGATAATCATGTTACAGGATTTTTAACATACCATGTATTGAACCCCCAAAATACTTTTTCAAGTATTTTCTGATTGGGCCTTTAATTAAAGAATAGGAACACTTGAAATGTGGGCCTGGAGAGGTGGTTCCTGGTGAGTAAAGTGCTTGATAAGCAAACATGAGGACCTAACTTAAGATTCCCCAGCACCCATGTAAGAACCAGGCATGTCTGTGTGCATCTAACTCTAGAGCTCACTGGCCACCCAGTCTAGCCAAAATATTAATTTCAGGTTCAAAAAATAGGTGGAGAATTGATTGAGAAAGACATTCTGATATCAGCCTCTGGTCCACACACACACACAGAGCTACAGTACAGTTTTGAGGATGATGTTTATCTGGCACTTTTTGAGATCCCATCTAGGTTTGCTGTAGGCGTTGGGATGCTGCAAAGATAATGAGTAATTACTTCTCAGTCTAGTGGGAGAGACAAGGAGATGCATTTAAGTGCTTTCCAACCTTAGAGAGCGCATTGCCTGTTCCTTTTTCCCAGCCATAACAAATTCTGTTTGGCATACAAGCAGGCATCAAGTCAGTGCTATTGATAACAAACACAGAAAGGGCTGTATTGAAAACTACTGTGACCAGATCTTTAGCTGTGTGTGAAGTCAGGCTGCCCAAGGGTGGCTGAGGAGCTGGCTGTAGAACTTGAGGGATCTGATTTAGGACTTTAGCAATTGTTATGACCTTGTGTCAGTGTCACTGAGGCTAAAGAACCTACCACTTGTCTAACCATGAGTTTATATACATGAATTGCAGATTTTTTTAAAATTTTTTTGGGCCATCAGCATGCGCTGGAGAGATGGCTCAGTTGTTGGACCCGGGTTCAATTCTCAGCACCCACATGGCAACTCACAGCTGTCTATGACTCCAGTTTCAGGGGATCCAACACCTCACACAGACATACATGCAGGCAAAACACCAATGTACATGAAAAAAAAAATTAAAACCTCTACTTAGTGTTACTTGGTAGTATTGTGCTGAGGACTATGGCTCACAAAGCAACTTCTTGTTTACCCTGGAGAGTCAAGACAGGCTTGCTGACACAGGGGTTGGGTGAGCAGAACTATGTAGATGAACACCCAGGGAGCTAAGATTGTCAGTTATTAATAGGATGGTGGGAATACATGTGGAAGAGCAGGAAATCACTCTAGTGAATTGATAACTCAAGCCACATTTAGAGATTTGTGACTTGAAAGGCAACTCTATTGATGAAATTCTTTTTATTGCATCAAAATATTGCTAACTGATTTTTACTTGTTAATCGAAATGTGGGCTACATTCTAATGTACTAATTGATTTTTTTTTTTTTTTCTTTCTCTAAAGCAAAAGGTGGTTATTAACAACCTGAATGGTCATACTGGTCGAGTCAATTGCCTGCAGTGGATACGTAGACTGGATTGTTGTAAGTATTAAACCAAGAAGGTTGATTTCAAATGCTTTTTGATAAAAGTATGGTTAGTAATTTCTTTTTCTTTATCATTTCCTTGACTGATGTATGTTTGGAAAAAAGAGAGAACTGGTCTACCCAGTGAGGTAGCTGACTAGATTTTTACTTGATAACAGTTGAAGCATGGTACACTCTGTGCCCATAGCCTCTGATTGGAAACCCTGTGAGTAGGGCACAGGTGGAGGCTGACATTCAGCTGACTCGGTGTGTT